GGACTTGCCATCAACGCATCAAAGACAAAATATATGAAAGCAAGAGGTTCTAGGGAAGACAATGTTAGCCTCCCACCCCGAGTTCAGATTGACGGTGACGAAATCGAGGTGGTCGATGAGTTCGTGTATTTGGGCTCACTGGTGACCGCCGAAAATGATACCAGCAGAGAAATTCAAAGACGCATTATGGCAGGGAATCGTGCCTACTTTGGACTCCGGAGGACGCTCCGGTCGAATAAAATTCGCCGCCGCACGAAGTTGACTGTCTACAAGACGCTGATTAGACCGGTGGTCCTTTACGGCCACGAGACCTGGACTATGCTCGTGGAGGACCAACGCGCCCTTGGTGTTTTCGAACGGAAGGTGTTGCGTACCATCTACGGTGGAGTGCAGATGGATGACGGAACGTGGAGGAGGCGAATGAACCACGAATTGCACCAGCTGCTGGGAGAACCATCCATCGTCCACATTGCAAAAATTGGGCGACTACGGTGGGCTGGGCACGTCGTAAGAATGCCGCACGACGACCCAGTGAAAATGGTTCTAGAAAGCGACCCAACAGGAACAAGAAGAAGAGGCGCGCAGCGGGCAAGGTGGATCGACCAAGTAGAAGGTGACCTGCGGACCCTTCGCAGACTACGAGGCTGGCGAAGTGTGGCCATGGATCGAGTAGAGTGGAGACGACTTCTTCGGACAGCAGAGGACAACAAGGCCTTAGCCTGATTGGTAAGGTAAGGTAAGTAATATTAAAACTAGCGTCTGATATACATGTTCAAGTAAGTTTAAAAATCAGTAAATTTGAAATGGCAAGGGTTCAGAGGAAAAAAAATATTTAAAAATGTGAAATGTGTTGCGCCCCTGATAAAAACGTTTTTCTTTAATATAGTCACTTTAACACTCTTGGGTCATTCGTGACTTGTCCGGGGGTGAGATTTGAACTCTTGACTTTGGCGTGAGAAGTATGGATGTTAACCACTACGCCGGGGTCGCCCCCTGATAAACATGTTCTGAAAAACATTTAAAAAGGATATATTTAAAATGACTTGCGCCCCTGGTAAGCATATTTAAAATGATTAAAACCGTTCAATTTAAAAAGGATAGCGCCCCTTATATACATTCCGGGAAAAATTTAAAGAAAATGTTAAATCTGGAAAATCTTAAAAAAAAATACCCGTACTGAATCATTTCAGAGCGCACTGAATAACTAATGAAAAGTTCGAAATCACTTCAGAAAGTACTGCACCACTTCAGAAAAGTTTGGACTCACTTCGGAAACTACTGAATCACTTAGGAATGTATTGTATCACTTTAGAAATGTTCGGAATCACTTCTGAACGTACTGAATCGATTCAGAACAGTTTGGAATCACTTCAGAAAGTCCTGAATCACTTCAGAAATGTAGAGAATCACTTCACAAAGTACTGAATAACTTCAGAAAAGACCCCAAACACTTAATAAATATTCGAAACCACTTTGGAAAGCACTGAATCATTGCGAAAAATTCACTTTGAAAATAATTGAAACCCTTGAGAAATGTTCGGAATCACTTCGGAAAATACCGAATATCTTCAGGAATGTTCGGAATCACTTTGTAAAAGTTCATGATCACTTCGGAAAGTACTGAATTATTTCAGAAAGCACTGAATCACTTCGGAAAGTGTTGAATCACTTTAAGCTCAGAATCTCTACGGATAATATTGACTCACTTGAGAAAATTTCGGATTCACATTGGAAAGTACTGAATCATTCCAGAAAGTTTGTAATTATTTCCACAAGAATGGAATCACTTCGAAAATGATTTAATTAGATAAGAATGCACAGAATTACTTCAGGAACGTTCGGCATCACATCGGAAATACTGAATCGCTTCAGAATGTCCATAATCACTTCGGAAAACGCTGAATCATTTCAGAAAGTACTGAATCACTTCAGAAATGTTTGGAATCGCTCGGAAAAGTACTGAATACTAACAGATAGTTTGTAATCACTTCCGAAAGTACTAAATCACTTCAGAAAGAATTAAATCACTTTTTAACAGTTTGAAATCAATTCTGAAAGTAATTAATCACTTCAGAAAAACTTTGAAATTCTTCGGATAGCATTGAGTGACTTAAGAAAATTTCTGAATACCTTCACCGTCAAAAACCGAGAGATCCTTCTCACTTCCACGAATTTTTCAACAGTTTTTCAACAGGATTCAATTAAGAGAATATTGATTATTATCGCTAAACTACTCAATTGTGACGAAAAGATCTCGACTTTGGCAACATAGATGAAGTACAGCCAACTCTCCACAACTCGATGTCCAGTTACTCGATATCCAGTTATATAACCATAATAAAAATGAGTGTCATGGCTACTGAGCTAGCAAATTTGTATGAGATTGTTATTCTACAACTCGATAATTCTATACCTCAAGTTGTAGAGAGTGCACTGTAGCTACGTTTCCAAAAACGAGATGTTTTTTTTTTCTTTCCTTTATTTAACGTCGGTCTCTGTTCCGCAATCTAGTGCCAATCACCGACGGACATCGATTGCCATCCATTGACGGCAATCGAATGTGCAGGAAGGCAGCTTCCACACCTGCGTAGGATATCGCACCCATTCAACACACATGGGCCGGGACCAACGGCTTTACTTCCCTTCCGAAGGAAGACGTGACTAGAGATTTGTATGCCTCAGAAAAATCCCACCGACCTCGGCTGGGATTGAACCCAGACTCATCGGGGTGTTAGAAAGCAGTCACGCTTACCACTTCACCACCGGCACCGGCTAAAAAAAACGAGATCTGTCTATACTGACATTACATGACATTACATTTAGGAAAGTTTGGAATCACTTTGGAAAAGTAAAGAATCCCTTCAGAAAGTATTGAATAACTTGAGAAAAGCTTAGGATCACTTTGGAAAGTACTGGACCATTTCAGGAAAAAAATTGCACGTACAGAATAAATTTAAATAGGGGAATTTACGTATTCTCGTCAATCTAAGCAGCGTCCGCACTTCTATTAGCATATTCTCAGTGTCACGCACATATATGACGTGTCTGTTTGTTTATATTCATCTGCTGCTTGCTTCTCTATCCATTCCAATCGACAGAATTTTTCAAAACGGTTTGAAAGCGTTTTTATAACGCTCCAAACTTCTCAGGTGAGTGTTACTATTGTCGGCAGCCTCTTTTTCTTCGGCAACCTTCCCATTAGAACTGCGTGTTAAATAGCTGTTCTATTATCGGCAACTCGAAATCAACCCCATTTTTTAGTGCGTATGCTTCATTTGAAGAAAAATCTGGCATTACAGAATTGCTCGGTCGTACAAATATAATCAGATTGAAGCTGAAAGACTAAATAATCGTTTGGAAACATTCAGGGAAGTGTGTAGATGGGAAACCATAGTGAAATTAACGTTTAAATTTTGGTTGCCGAAAACAGTCAATAGGTGCCGAAGCCAACATTTACCCTAGTACTAAACTTTACAAAAGTTTTAAATCACTTCGGAAAAATTGGAAACACTGGATTCGTGCATTCAGCTCATAGCATATGTTGCAGTTCGATGTTTTCTGTTCTATAGAATAGGTGACCGATACCGATAACGTGTGGAGATTATTCTCATTCTCTCGCGCTCTCTGTAGATCGGTTGATCGGAGGCTGGGCATCGCCCGATATAGTTTGGATTCACTCGTTAGTTGTATCGTCAGCCACCGACGAGGATAGACTTACATGGAAATAAATAAGATTGCATGGAGCCAGTGTGCAACAGTACATTTAAATAAAGTGAATTTTTAGTGGAAGGTGAATTGCATGCATTGAATACGTGCCAGTAGTGTGACATATCACCCGTGCCTCGAAGATTCCTGGATCACGTTCTTCCCTTGGAACAAGCCTGTTTTTTGGTGTTCGCAACACAGTTTCCGCTACGCACGGAAGGTACAGATTCAGGTGAGCCCAGGCCTGCCCGAACAGCATATTTAATAACTTCAGAAAAGCTTGAGTTCAGTAGTGAAAATGTTGAATCGCTCAAAGATAGACTCACTTCCGAAAGTGTTAAATTTTCTGGACTGATTTAATACTTTCGGCAGTAATGTCACGAGTTCTTGGGAACGTTTAAAGCAAGAACCTGTTATAAATGTAAAAATGTGGCACTGGAACAGTAAACGTATTGCCTAATAAGATTTCCAAAGGTAACATCAGTTGTAACAACACAAACATCTCTGGTTCTTATGTCAAAGATTTGCGTAGCGACGATTGCGTTATTTCCACGCACACATGCTCGAAGAGTTTGGCATTCCACTTTTGTTAAAAGTAGCAGAGGTTAGGTTGACAAGGTTTCCTAGGTAAAAGTTTCCTTTACGAAAGTAAGGTTTTTTGTACGAGAGCCACATGGGATGTGCCATTTGCATTATTCTACATATATTTTTATGGTTACTGTTCTATTATGCTGGCGATTGATTTATGCTATCTTAACAGCAGTCATAATTTATAACTACTCAAGATATTACCATCCACCAAATCCAGCATAAGTTGAACTGCAACATCGAAACCAAATTGGTAATAAACGAATTAAACGCATCAAATGAATCCATATTAATGAATCTTTATTTTTTGTTTTTTTTTTTTTTTTTTTTTTTTTTTTATTTTAACTACAATTATATCCACAATCTTCCCCTTAATTAGCCTAGTACTTGTGATTGAAGAAGTTCGTTGCGCCTTTGCTTCAGGTAGCGTAGTAAGGGCTTCTTACTGCGGAGGTTTTGATTTGATAACATACTGGTAGTTTTGGAAGCTTTGTTTTACCCACGAATGTTTGAGAAATTCTAGAAACTGTTCAAGGTTTTTCCTGGAATTAGGAGAAATTCAAGTAAGATAGCTATGAGATAAATAAGAAAACACAAATTATGGTGCTTGGAAAATGTTAACAGAACTTTCGGAAACTAATCATAATTTCAAGAAGAAAGGATAAAGGGACTTCGCCACCTGTAGAGTACGATGCTGCTCGAAAAAGGGCAAATGTTTTGCAACGTACTACATAAACTAGATAATACACTATGTGATCGGATGCATCGTTATTCTAGGCATATTTATATTTTAAGGCCGCTAGTCAATATTGGGTGCGACTACTTTGCTCAAATTTTAGAAACACAGCACTGGATATATCCATCAAAGAATGAGTTAGGTAATGGAGTGCGCATTTTATTAGTATTGTAGCATTAACACTCTGAACACAGTGCTCCCAATAAAATGCAATGTTTGAAAAATTATAACTCAGCCGTTTATTGACGAATTTCAAATCTATTAGCTCCATTTGGAACTACAAGCTTTACAAATTTATTCGGCATGAATATGTAACATCTGTTGATAAATTGCTGAACAATAATTTTTCAAACATTGCCAATTTTCCGTTACCCATTTTACCGGAGGCATCGTGTTCGGAGTGTTAATGGTCCGTCGCTCAATTTCAACTACTGTTCAATTTTCCTCTTCGGACCTTTCTCTAGCTAATAACGTATCGCACTAAAGCAAGCAGCCTTCGTGTTGAGATAACATTTCCACCCAACACCCAATATTTCTTCTTGGAGGGTTTTCTATCCTGAGATCCATTGTTTCCCTACATTCCAGCATATCAAAACATCATAAAGAACTTAGGAATTCACACTCATCAATGCATGGTCAGTGATTCTGTCAAGTGCGATGACTCTCTCTCTCTCTCTCTATTCTCTTGCTGAATCTTAAAATCACATCATATTGGGGAATCCCACGCAGGCTCAATCTTTCCAGTCTTTTCTCATTCTTTAATAGCAACGATTGTTGGGAGTTTCTGCATAGGTCAGTTTGAGATTCGTGAAATTAATATTAGGTGAAATATTGTTTAGGTTTTAAAATATGACTGTACTTTTTGCACTGTTTTCTTTGGCGTTACTTTCTCTGATCTCGCTGCAAATAGAAGGTTTGTTTATCGTATAATGTATGTGCGTTTGTGTGTATGTGCTTGAGTTCTTAAAACGTCTTCCTTTCAGCGCTACAATGCGGTAAACGTCAACTGTCTCACTTGGCACTTATTTATAGTGGAGCAGATTCCGTCGAAGGAGAATGGCCCTGGCACACGGCTCTTTACATTATGAAAAGAAATGATAATACGCCCACATACCAGTGTGGAGGAACACTTATCAGCTCCAGCTTTGTGCTAACTGCCGCTCATTGTACCACTCAATATCATATCCCGTTACCAGCGGATCGTCTGATTTTGAGACTTGGGATTACCAATTTGAGTACTGTTGGGCCTACTTTAATAGATCACAAAGTGAAAAAGATTATCCGTCATGGGAAATACAATCCCACATACCACCAATATGACGTTGCTCTGCTGAAGACGGTTAACGAGGTGGTATTCTCCGATTACATTCAACCAGTTTGTATGCCGACTGGAAGTACTGCTGAAAGTTATAAGTTTGGACACGTAGTCGGATGGGGATTCGGTGAGGGAAACCAGTTGAAACCAGTTCTGCAGAAAGCTACGCTAGGGTTTGTCAATGCCTTAACGTGCTTGTCGAGCAATCCTGTGCTATATAGTTTTCTCCTGTCCAAAGATAACAGCAATTTTTGTGCCGGAAATGCGAACGAAACTAACGTTTGTGATGGAGACAGCGGTGGAGGCATGTTCGTGTATAACGAACAGGACAAACGATGGTACATCAGAGGAATTGTTAATGCCGGTGCTCGCGCGCAATCGGCAATGAAAACCCGATGCGATACGAAGCAGTTTGTTACATTTGGTAACGTAACGTACTTTAAGGATTGGATTGACAGTAAGGAACATGAGAAAACTACTAACTTGCTTGATTTGGATGACTGTGCCGCAGATGATCACGATTCAAGCGTTCCGGAAGAAGAGAAGCCAATTTTCCTCCAGTATCCTTGGGTTACCATTCAGGAATTCAGCGTTCCAAATGCCAGTAAAATTCAGATGGTATGCAGCGGGGTCTTGATCCATCCCCAATTTGTACTTTCGATGGGTCATTGCGCTTGCGATTTATGTGATGGAACAGAACTGTAAGGTTTTTTAATATTTCCGTTTTGATGTTTCTTGTAACTGATATTATTTTTATTTTCTTGCAAAGGAAATCCGTTCGGCTTGGAGACTATGACCTGTCTAGCAATCCAGACACAGATATTTATGGGGTTGCAACCAGCACACACTCAATCCCTGTGTCTAAAGTGATCCACCATCCTAAGTTCGCCATAACAGGATACAGCCACAATATTGCACTGATTAAGCTTTCTCGGTCGGCTCCAGTAGAAAAGTTAAACATAAAACCAATATGTTTGCCAAAAGCTTTGAGCTTTGCTGGAAATCTCTCAGTCGTTGGCTGGAAACGGGCAGGAGATAACATTCTACAGCGAGAGATTTCCCGTATGCAGGAGGGTTTCTTATGCAAGAAGGTTTACAGCTCGATAAACGTTGACCTGGATCCGGAGGAAAGCTTTGTATGCGTTGATCACATCGATGACAAAGCGAATGATTGCTACAGTTTTAAAAGTGGAAGTTCGCTCCACTATCTGGACAGAGTAGATGGGACGAATCGATATTATTTGAAAGGACTCTATGCCTTCGGATCTTCACGATGTAGACTAAATTTAACAGATGTGTTTGTAGATGTGCATTACTACTTGAACTGGATAAAAGAGACTGTTGAGATGGAGCTTCGGCGTTAGCGGTGGTCGATTTTTATTAGGAGAGTAGGTTAGGTGTTCCAGTTATATAAATATTCCATATTTGCAACGGTACTAGTTGAGCATTTCCAGCCCAAATAGCAAAAAGAAAGATAAAAATTGCATAATGTTCATTAATTCACATTAGAGCTAAAATTCAGCCTCAACAAATCATAACAAAGAAAGACAAAGTTAAAGGAAAAAATAAAAGCTTTGCTGAAAAAAAATTAAATATTGTAAAAAGTTCAAGTATTTTTGGTTAAAAATTAAAAAAAAGTGTCAAAAACTAATATAGGTTGATGATGTAAGAATCCGCACACATTAAGAACGCTGCCTTTGAGAAATTTTTGGAATAAAATTTTTCAAATTTCACTGAATCAAGCTAAGAGTGTATAGATAGCATCACAGTAGGTATTGGATGTCAGGATACGTTCATTTGTTTACATCAAGGCTTCACCGGGGCAAGCACGTTATGTTTCGATCCTGAACACTCGAAACGAATGTTTTCCATATTTATGTGCTTTTATGTGGATGTGTGTATTTTTCCTTTTATTTATTTTCGAAATTTCCCAAGGTTGTGTTGGTGCTGTTATGGTGATAGTATTTGGTGAGCTATTCCATATAAACACAATCCGTTTGTTCCCTAAACACAATCGCGCACGATCTGTTTTGCGGTTGTAGATAAAACATAAGAAAAGCGATACTGTCGGTAAATAAGGTATGCATCCGAGTGCCAAAAAATTGTAGAGTTTGGTGGGAAAAAAAATTCCGATTTATCCCAGGCCACTATTGTACAAAATTAGATCCTGAGCGGAAAACTTCGTAATGTTAAAAAATAGAAAGTGCAGACTTGATCAAGTTTGGGATACATTAATGACTGTTTTGGAGAACGTGATTTCATTTTAATATCTTGTTTAATCATGGTCGCGTGAAGAGTCATATTTACGGAGATAAATCGATTTAAAGGTTTGGGAAACCCATCAGTCGACAAAGAAAGGTTTATGAAATATTTTATACTGGGAAATCCGAATATGAAAATTTCGATCCTCTGAACACCCCTCAAATCGCGATTAGAGCCATATTAACGGAGATAAATCGATTTAAAGGTTTGGGAAACCCATCAGTCGACAAAGAAAGGTTTATGAAATATTTTATTCTGGGAAATCCGAATATGAAAATTTCGATCATCTCAACACCCCTCAACTCGCGATTAGAGCCATATTAACGGAGATAAATCGATTTAAAGGTTTGGGAAACCCATCAGTCGACAAAGAAAGGTTTATGAAATATTTTATTCTGGGAATTCCGAATATGAAAATTTCGATCCTCTGAACACCCCTCAAATCGCGATTAGAGCCATACTAACGGAGATAAATCGATTTAAAGGTTTGGGAAACCCACCAGCCGACAAAGAAAGGTTTATGAAATATTTTATACTGGGAAATCCGAATATGAAAATTTCGATCATCTGAACACCCCTCAAATCGCGATTAGAGCCATATTAACGGAGATAAATCGATTTAAAGGTTTGGGAAACCCATCAGTCGACAAAGAAAGGTTTATGAAATAATTTATTCTGGGAATTCCGAATATGAAAATTTCGATCATCTCAACACGCCTCAACTCGCGATTAGAGCCATATTAACGGAGATAAATCGATTTAAAGGTTTGGGAAACCCATCAGTTGACAAAGAAAGGTTTATGAAATATTTTATTCTGGGAATTCCGAATATGAAAATTTCGATCATCTCAACACGCCTCAACTCGCGATTAGAGCCATATTAACGGAGATAAATCGATTTAAATGTTTGGGAAACCCATCAGTCGACAAAGAAAAGTTTATGAAATATTTTATACTGGTAAATCGGAAAATGAAAATTTCGATCATCTGAATACTCCTCAAATCGCGATTAGAGCCATATTAACGGAGATAAATCGATTTAAAGGTTTGGGAAACCCATCAGTCGACAAAGAAAAGTTTATGAAATATTTTATTCTGGGAAATCCGAATATGAAAATTTCGATCCTCTGAACACTCCTCAAATCGCGATTAGAGCCATATTAACGGAGATAAATCGATTTAAAGGTTTGGGAAACCCATCAGTCGACAAAGAAAGGTTTATGAAATATTTTATACTGGGAAATCCGAATATGAAAATTTCGATCATCTCAACACGCCTCAACTCGCGATTAGAGCCATATTAACGGAGATAAATCGATTTAAAGGTTTGGGAAACCCATCAGTCGACAAAGAAAGGTTTATGAAATATTTTATTCTGGGAATTCCGAATATGAAAATTTCGATCCTCTGAACACCCCTCAAATCGCGATTAGAGCCATATTAACGGAGATAAATCGATTTAAAGGTTTGGGAAACCCATCAGTCGACAAAGAAAGGTTTATGAAATATTTTATTCTGGGAAATCCGAATATGAAAATTTCGATCCTCTGAACACCCCTCAAATCGCGATTAGAGCCATATTAACGGAGATAAATCGATTTAAAGGTTTGGGAAACCCATCAGTCGACAAAGAAAGGTTTATGAAATATTTTATTCTGGGAAATCCGAATATGAAAATTTCGATCCTCTGAACACTCCTCAAATCGCGATTAGAGCCATATTAACGGAGATAAATCGATTTAAAGGTTTGGGAAACCCATCAGTCGACAAAGAAAGGTTTATGAAATATTTTATACTGGGAAATCCGAATATGAAAATTTCGATCATCTCAACACCCCTCAACTCGTGATTAGAGCCATATTAACGGAGATAAATCGATTTAAAGGTTTGGGAAACCCATCAGTCGACAAAGAAAGGTTTATGAAATATTTTATTCTGGGAATTCCGAATATGAAAATTTCGATCCTCTGAACACCCCTCAAATCGCGATTAGAGCCATATTAACGGAGATAAATCGATTTAAAGGTTTGGGAAACCCACCAGCCGACAAAGAAAGGTTTATGAAATATTTTATACTGGGAAATCCGAATATGAAAATTTCGATCATCTGAACACCCCTCAAATCGCGATTAGAGCCATATTAACGGAGATAAATCGATTTAAAGGTTTGGGAAACCCATCAGTCGACAAAGAAAGGTTTATGAAATATTTTATTCTGGGAAATCCGAATATGAAAATTTCGATCCTCTGAACACCCCTCAAATCGCGATTAGAGCCATATTAACGGAGATAAATCGATTTAAAGGTTTGGGAAACCCATCAGTCGACAAAGAAAGCTTTATGAAATATTTTATTCTGGGAAATCCGAATATGAAAATTTCGATCCTCTGAACACTCCTCAAATCGCGATTAGAGCCATATTAACGGAGATAAATCGATTTAAAGGTTTGGGAAACCCATCAGTCGACAAAGAAAGGTTTATGAAATATTTTATTCTGGGAATTCCGAATATGAAAATTTCGATCCTCTGAACACCCCTCAAATCGCGATTAGAGCCATATTAACGGAGATAAATCGATTTAAAGGTTTGGGAAACCCACCAGCCGACAAAGAAAGGTTTATGAAATATTTTATTCTGGGAAATCCGAATATGAAAATTTCGATCCTCTGAACACTCCTCAAATCGCGATTAGAGCCATATTAACGGAGATAAATCGATTTAAAGGTTTGGGAAACCCATCAGTCGACAAAGAAAGGTTTATGAAATATTTTATACTGGGAAATCCGAATATGAAAATTTCGATCATCTCAACACCCCTCAACTCGCGATTAGAGCCATATTAACGGAGATAAATCGATTTAAAGGTTTGGGAAACCCATCAGTCGACAAAGAAAGGTTTATGAAATATTTTATTCTGGGAATTCCGAATATGAAAATTTCGATCCTCTGAACACTCCTCAAATCGCGATTAGAGCCATATTAACGGAGATAAATCGATTTAAAGGTTTGGGAAACCCATCAGTCGACAAAGAAAGCTTTATGAAATATTTTATTCTGGGAAATCCGAATATGAAAATTTCGATCCTCTGAACACTCCTCAAATCGCGATTAGAGCCATATTAACGGAGATAAATCGATTTAAAGGTTTGGGAAACCCACCAGCCGACAAAGAAAGGTTTATGAAATATTTTATACTGGGAAATCCGAATATGAAAATTTCGATCATCTGAACACCCCTCAAATCGCGATTAGAGCCATATTAACGGAGATAAATCGATTTAAAGGTTTGGGAAACCCACCAGCCGACAGAAAGGTTTATGAAATATTTTATTCTGGGAAATCCGAATATGAAAATTTCGAACATCTGAACACCCCTTAAATCGCTATTAGAGCCATATTAACGGAGATAATTCGATTTAAAGGTTTGAGAAACCAACCAGTCGACAAAGAAAGTTTAATGAAATATTTTACACCGGGATATCCGAATATGAAAATTTCGATCATCTGAACACCCCTCAAATCGCGATTAGAGTCATATTAACGGAGATAAATCGATTTAAAGGTTTGGGAAACCCACCAGTCGACAAAGAAAGTTTAATGAATTATTTTACACCGGGATATCCTAATATGAAAATTTCGATCATCTGAACACCCCTCAAATCGCGATTAGAGTCATATTAACGGAGATAAATCGATTTAAAGGTTTGGGAAACCCACCAGCCGACAAAGAAAGGTTTTCGATCATCTGAACACCTCTCAAATCGCGATTAGAGCCATATTAACGGAGATAAATCGATTTAAAGGTTTGGGAAACCCACCAGTCGACAAAGAAAGTTTAATGAAATATTTTACACCGGGATATCCGAATATGAAAATTTCGATCATCTGAACACCCCTCAAATCGCGATTAGAGTCATATTAACGGAGATAAATCGATTTAAAGGTTTGGGAAACCCACCAGTCGACAAAGAAAGTTTAATGAAATATTTTACACCGGGATATCCGAATATGAAAATTTCGATCATCTGAACACCCCTCAAATCGCGATTAGAGCCATATTAACGGAGATAAATCGATTTAAAGGTTTGGGAAACCCACCAGTCGACAAAGAAAGTTTAATGAAATATTTTACACCGGGATATCCGAATATGAAAATTTCGATCATCTGAACACCCCTCAAATCGCGATTAGAGTCATATTAACGGAGATAAATCGATTTAAAG